TTTTATTTGTCATTGTAATAAAACTATATAATATTATTTATAAAGATTTTATAAAAATGGCATTTGAATAGATAATTCAATACAAAAATAACATTTTAAATAAATATTCACGAAAATATTCAAGTGCAAATATATAGCTCGGTGGAGTAGTGGATAGTCAGTCACGGGATGGGTGACCAAAATATTATTATTTCGAGCTACTCCGTGCTTCGGAAGCAGTTGATGATGATGAATATACACGCAAAGGTAGGTCTGTGTATATGTTAGTGACCCTCTCACGCCTAACCCACTATTAACAGAGTTGACTTGAGATAGGACATAGGTTGCTTTTTTTTTTGATAAAACGGTTGAAACAAGGAATCACAGTTTGTACGGTATTTCATCATTGTCAAAGATAAAGTCATAAAATGTTATTTCAGGTATTTAAACGATATAATGAATACATATTCGTTTTGAAAATGCTGTCCAAAGTAACTATGTCAAGTGGACCATCCTTCGCGGACCTTCGGGTTATTACCATTTTAACTAATAGAGAATAAATCAAGGAAAAATATAGATTGGAATGTGAGTGTGAAAAAAACAAAAGGTACGAAAGTTTTATAAATAAGAAAAAGTTTTCATCAAGCCCGAGCTTTAAAACTGTCCATAAGTGGACCCACAATATGCGAGACGGCGCGTAAAATTGATAGAAACTAGCAAATCGCTAGCTTTAACGCTTCAAATGACCGGATAGATTGTTTTAAATCACCACGGCACTATGAACCGACAAATCGGTGGGAAATTGGAGACAGTGGCACTGCAAAATGTTGATACATGGATAACAACACTTCCCGAATTATTATCCCGTACAAAAAATTACGAACAGCGAGATACTTTTTTTAAATTAATACCACATAAATTCTATGTTTCCTATCCCGCTTAATACGCTTTCCCGCTTATGACGTGTATGGTTGAGTCCCTGTGAAATCATCTCAAACAGGTTTTACAGTATTTTGATTCATGAAAACTGTACATGTATGCTCGTAGTTACAGAAGATTCAATTAAGTACCTAATTCTTTTCACCGATACACAAATCCTCAATACCGTTTTTTTATGATAACGGATAGATTAAAATATAAACGGATCATGGATTTTAAAATAGTCTAGCAAAATAAACTGTTCACAAAATGACAAACAATTCAAAGTGACCCCAAACTGTAAGCTTTTGATCCGTAATTGGTGCTCTGCGATTGGTCCGTTTTAGAGCGCGGCGCGCGTCGGATTCTCTTATTGGTTGGATTCCTGGCCCGCCCTTGAGAGAGATTAGAGGGGTTGAGTGAGGGTGATTTTAAAAGTGCGATTCTATTTGATACTTTGGATTAAGATTTTATTCTATAAAAAAATTTAAAGATGAAATTATGTAAAGAAATAGTTTTTATTTGATTTGGAAGAGTGCTTTACCTACCTTACCTTATTTAGAAAATATTTGTATAGCTTTAATAATTATCTTTTTTTTATAGGAGAAAGGAGGATTTAACAATTTTCTACCTTTTGATACATAAGTTATAATAACTGTAAGAAATGTGTTCTGTTCTGACAATGTATTGAAAAAAAGTTTTTTTTTAATATCTTACACACAGCTTATATTATCCCTTTAGTTAAAAACGTTCGAAATGCCAATCAATTTTCTGATTTTAAGCCGGTTTTTATATTTTAAGCAGATATTTCAGAGAGAGTTCAAAACCTTTATTATGAATGATAAACTATGACATTTAAATAGTGGCATAAATAAAATCCTATTAAAATTATAAATGTGATAGTTTCTTTGTTTGGATGTTTGTCGGTCAATCGCGCCGAAACTTCTGAACGGATTTTGATGAAATTTGGTATACAGATAGGGGATTAGCTGACTTAGATAATAGGATACTTTTTATCCCACTTTACATTTCCCTAGGTATCACGCGGGCGAAGCCGCTGGCGAAAGCTAGTATTTTATAAAAACAAAAAGTGACACTCAACGTCTCTTTTTGTAATTAAACTTATATTGTATGTTTCAACATCATTAAAATGTCTGTCTGTCTCAAATATTAAATTATTTTTTTCAAAGACTAACATTATTTGATCGCTCTACAATCTCTTTGCATGCTGGGATGATCCACGGAGCGGGTTACATTTCTAGATATTCGTGTCTGTTGCGCTCTATATAGGTATGTATTATAGGTACTGTTTTAAGGCTTAGGGTAAACTGACAACAGCAAGTGATAATTTACTGTATTACATACACTAGTTATGATTAAAAAATGTTTCTACCTCATTGATTAGTCTTTCGATTTCCACTTGTTTTGTCTTCACTTCTGACAAAATTTGAGAAAACCGAAAGGTTACGTCATAAATCAAGTCAATTAATTATTACAGACCATAGAAAATCTTATTATTTTTGATCGAAGGATGCCATTTCTAAGTACAATACAGGTGTTTGGTGATCACCATCACCAGCCTATTAATGTTCTCCTGCTGGTCACAAAGAAACTTCTACTCCCATTTTCATTCCTTTATTTTTTGGGATACATATAGTCTATGTTCACCACATATGATTTTTTAAAACAGTCCAGTAGTTTTGAAGCCTATTCGTTGCAAACAAACAAACAATCAAATCTTTCCTCTTATATAGCGCATATTTAATGTATGCTGCTGCCATCTGTTGCCAGTGACTTCAACTTTTTAAGTAAATAGATGTTCCACTGTTCCATTACAATTAACCAAAAAAAAGGTGAATTCTGTTATATCATTATGGACCATTATGTGTTGTACAGTACATGTAGAGAGAATATTTACTAGTACTGTAAAGTCATAGGCAATGAACGCATAGTGGGTGAGCAAAGGCGTAACGAGTTGTTTAAAAATTTAAAAACACGGGTGCGCTGAGCCCGTATATCTCAGGAGTTAGAGCACGACGTTCGAGTATCGTAAATAATTTATTATTATTATTATTTCTTTTTTGGTTTCTAAACGAAGTTCGCATTCCTTCTCCACGTGGCCATGTAATACAAAGATCTCTGGCAATACGCATGGTGCTATGGCATGCTTTATAGTCATGGTATTCTATTAAAATACAGTTTCAAACACAGCGCTATCACAATATTAGAGGTCCAATGATATAACACTACAGGTGTATCTTTTTAGTGGGTTTTATTTAAATCAATACTGCTGCGTCATCTCTGTACTTTGCTTCCCGTAGTATTTTTTAACAGAATAGCACTGTAAATATATTCTAGACTTCAAGCGATCCCAATTGACCTCCGTAGCCAAGTGAATGAATATAGAAAAATGATTATTGCCGTTAGCTGTTGAGTGTTATCTTGGAAAATTAATATTGTTTGGCCATGTGTACACTACGGTTTAGATACGAACGTTCGTTCAATTTCCGTTGGAATTTCTCTATTCATCGTCTCTACGATCCAACGGAGTTTGCCGAGATTAAACATTTTCAGCTAATTATCCTTGTTGAGGGCATTTTCATTCAATTTATAAACCATTAATCTTGTTCAGAATGTAGTTAATAAAAATGATAAATATTTTTAATCAGTAGAATATTTTAATACAATAAATCCAGCATTTATTTTGTTATATAGCTTACATGAGTAAATGGGTGCAATCGTTTAAGTGAATTACTTTTATAATGGCGTATTAAGTTGATAAGTAGTTAACTTAAATTTTAGTCCCTAGGTACGTGTTAACTTATCACCTAAAATTTAATTAACAGTTGTTAACTACTTATTTAAAATAATCTACTTATTTAATACTTGTAAAACAGGCATTTATAATAATTTTCTCCTGCTGTGCTGTGTACGTACTAAAATCTGCCTAGAACTCAACATTGAGCACAGCGCTATTTAAGCATAGAGGTTTAATCAAATAAAATCAATTTCAAAAGCTAATTTAATATTTATAACCAAAATTCGTAGGAATGTATGCACGGCCACACGTCACGTTACAGACCACTGTAAGCAGACCGCTGTTAGTATGGAAGTTCTATACGAAGCGTGGTCGGTACAAAGTCCACAATGTATAGTCTGAAGTGCTGCCGTGTGTACCTAGAGTACTGGGTACTAATTATTTTGGATTTTAAGTTGTAAGTACTAACCTGGCGACTAATAAGGTCCACTGTTTTTGATCGCTGAAATGCCAAAAACCCATTCTCAATTATTGCGCCGCAGCCACTGATCAGTGAGAACAGGATAACATAATTTAAAAGTAGGTATTTCAGTTGGGTTTCTAGAATACATTGTAGTGAAGAAAAGGATACCACTGATTTGACGCGAGGAAACTTTTTTTCTGGAATCATCACATGAAGTATTCACGATCATTTCGACCGCTTTGGCTTGTTTGGGATTTTAGTTCATAACATTCTTTCAATGTAATATCATAAAAATTATACGAAAAAAATTTCAATAATATCGTAAAAATATTTTTTTCATAAGATTCACAATGCAAACGAGAACGTCTCGAATCCGCGTTAAAAATACGCCACCCCGCCCACCGGGCGGGCGCCCATCCCTTCCCGCCCTTTCAACCCACGACAGTTTAACTCGGTCCGGGGACAAATCACCTCGTTTTCGACAAACAGCCCCGCTGAGCGACAATTATACCGTAATCGATAACATTATTTCGTTTGCCGGACCGCGACGTTGCTAAAACTGGTGCGAATTAAAAACTAAACTGTCGTTCACTTTGCATTAAAAAAAATCTGTGTTTTTAAAAGTTCGCGTTGAAACTTTTTGAAGGATTTTTAGATTTATTGTTACGTTTTATTTTCAAATAGATATAGTATCGGTGATTTAATTATTTCACAAGAAGTTCTGAAAGTGAAACAATTTACTTTTATGGAAACTTTTAATTACCTTTAAGAAGTGAACAAACTTTCGTTTAAATTTAATTTTATGGAATTCTTTAACAAAATAATGTAACAAAAATTAATCAGAACTCGTAAATAAAAAAGTTTTAGTGAAATAACTTAAAAATGGAACAAGAAACTCGAAGCGAGTCACCAACGGACACTAATCGTCAAGAGCCAACGTCAAAGACATCTTTTTTAATCGAAGACATTTTGTATAGAGGGCAACAGAATAAAAATTATAGAGGCCCAAATGTTGATCCTAGGACGCATTATGATTACGATAGAACGGAACCTAAAGGTTATTTCTCTGTGCCAAATGAAGTAAGGCCTCATTTACCGAGGGAAGGTTCCTATTTACAAGTGGCGATGGGAGCCTTAGGTGCATACCTTCATACGCCAAACTCTTATAAGTCTGTGGAGACGCCGTATTTTTTATCACAAGGTCAGTTTATTAGCTAGTCTGTTTTTATCAATACTAATATTATTAAAAGGAAAGATTTGATTGTTTGAGTTGATTAGGCTTCGAAATTACTACACCGATTCTAAAATATTCTTTCATCTATGGGAAGAGACATCATATGCTACAATTTACTCGGACGAAGTCGCGGGAACAACGGCTAGTCTATAGATAAAATAAAAACTATGCTTAGAGCTTCATCATACTATAAAGCAAAGTTCGTCTGTAAATAAATAAGGGGTCGGGATGCCTACAAAACTTTTTTGCAGAATAAAGTATTTTGTTTGTTTGTTTGTTGAGGTCACGATAAAATTGAACTCCTGGGACGATTCTGAGACGGTGGACCAAATATTTTTTCTTTCAAAAAACGTGAAAGGATGCCGGCCGATCCTTTTTACTTACATAAAGGGATGTATCCAAGAAGTTGAGATATCATTATACATATTTATCTTTACTTTTGGATTCATGTAATAGATGAAAGGACGTTTTAAAGTTTTTATTTGTAAATTTGCTGCAGTTAAGTTGTAAGTGTAAAAAATCTAGTCCCTTCCCTCCATATTATATACAAAAGTAAAAAAAAAATGCATAGACATTTTATATAACTCTGTGCGATCTGGATTTGGACCGCAGTCCGCTTGTTGCCGATCGCTACTATAGAGCATCTATATTGTTTGTAATATCTACTACTCTGAGCGGAAATTGAATCTAACACTTTATGCACTCTCACGAACTCATTATACTGACGAGAGACCAAGCTTTATTTTACAAATAGATTTCGCTTGGTTGCTTCGGGTTGCGAGCAGCCCGGGGAGGTAACGCGTCGCTTGTGGCATCGGGACGGTGGGGTTTTAAGTCGGCCTCCGTTACAGATTTTGATTTTTTAGTTTTTTTGTTATGTCGAGCTTAGAGTTTGAAATTACCTAGAAAAGTGCCCAGTTTACACGCAATAGAAAAATACTAATATTATTAAAAGTCGAAAAACGCAAGCAAAACTAAAAATAATTTTTGTATAGGCTTGTAGTCTTTTATTCTCTTAGCATAACATTTCATTCTCTTAGCAAACCGCCGTAGTTGCTAGGGTTGCCAGCTGTAGGTGATGAAAGTAGTCAAAGGTGATTTCGTGATGTGCCCTCAATTGTTGAATACCAATTTACAAGCTCTAAAATTGTCCCTTTGACATTTACAGACATCTAATCTCAAAAATACCCTAATATCGGATAATTTTTTTCACAATATGAAAGAGTCTATAGAGATACACAATCGTGCCATTTTATACATGCCAAATATCTGCAGGGTTGCCAAGTCGGTTAAAACCAAGGTTGAATTTCAAAAGTTGTTTGTTCTCAATGTTGCCAGTCGATCATCTTGAAAGTTTAAAATTAAAATATTTGCATTGTAAAAATCCAATAATAAAAAATCTGCACTGAAAAAATCCAAAAATTAAAAATTACCATAAAATCGGGGAAAAAATCATTTCATACGAAAGAGCCAGCGGTGATGCATGATCGGTCCATGCAAAGCGAAGAGTTTCGATGTTGCCATGTACGCTAAAAACACGTTAAATTTTTTCGAAAAAGTAAAAAATACACAAAATCGCTGCTGCCGGCTCCCTTGTAGCTATACTGTTTTGAGTTCGTTTTTCGCGAAAAGTGCGTATTTCCAAATTTCACTTTTCTCCCATAATCTCAAAAACTAGCACGAAAAATGTAGAACTTAGTAGCAAAGTATAAAGTCGGCAGCGAGCCTCACGATTGCCCCATACAACGCAAACCCGTCCGTCGCGAAAGTCAATTTTCATTTCCAAAATAAAATGGCCGCCACCGCCGCCGTCATACCACAGGTCGTACTGAGTCTCAAAAATTCCCCCTCAAGACGAATAATGATCGCCCGAACAGAGGTCGAAAAATGCCAATTTTTCAGATAAAATATCTCGGCCGCCATTTTGTTTTTTATTAAATTTATGGTCATTTTGAATATCGTAACCGTAGAGTGAATACTTTAAACAATTATCGCGTCGTCCTTTTGTTTTTTGGCTGTACCGATATGCCATTTCAACTCGAATTAAAAAAAAATTGTCTGTCTCCAAACATGAAAGCATCATTTTCCCAATCCTTCCACCGAACAAAGCATGGAGTGAGTGAGTGAGTCAGTCAGTCAGTGGTAATTAAGCTCTATATATTATTTTACAATATGTTTGTACAAACGGTTTTTCGCGATGTCGCCCATGTAAATTATAGTCTATGTCACCCGCATACGCCGCTAACTGTAGATGAAAGTATTTTTAAAATCGGTCCAGTACTTTCAGAGCCTATTCGAAGTAAAGAAACATACAAATAATCAATTCTTTCTTCTCCATAATATAAGTATCTGATGCCCCTCAGATATGAGACAATGCATATTATCATCATTGATAAACTTAAATATTCCATTGAAATATTCCTATTAAAATAATCACTATAACATGTTGGCAACTCTTTCTATCACTACAGAGTGTTTAAGTAAAATCGCTGTCCGCTCATGTCTCAAATGCTGTGTATCACTGATTATCACCCTGAATCATGATCGCGAGGACGGAAAAAAGTCTGTCTTTATCATGTTCCTACATCATCATCATTTCCGCCAGAAAACGTCCACCTCTGGACAAAGGCCTCCTTCATAAATAGTCGTGTTGCTTCTTCGCTTCCCAGCAATTCTGACCAGATCTTTGGTCAATGTTATGGGAGGTCACTCCGTTTTACTATTATATTCTTTTGTTGAAGAGTTCTGTGACAACCCAAATGAATACAAATAGAGACAGATGACGACGAATCACACGGACTAATGCGTCAGAAAATATTTTTAATACTGGAAAATCATTTGTGTCTTCTAATGGGTCCCGGAGTCGACGGAGTGAAATCGACTTTTCAAGTCTTAGTGATTGAAGCAAATATTGATCGTTTACCGCGTTGACTTGCTACTCATCACGTCGTTTTAATTAAAATCATCTTGCTTAATCATCAATTAACGGAAATTTTGATTGACGGCACTTGATGGGTATGTGCTAGACGCGACTTTAATTTATTTTATTTTCATTTTACATGTAGAAATTATTTTTTTCAGTTAACATTGGCAGAATTATGTGAAACGCGTAGATAAGCCAATAATAAAAGAAGAAGAAGTGATCTATGAAGTAAAAAAAAAATATGTAAAATCGACTCAGTCAAGTCGACTTGTTCGTCTCCGGGATCCATAAAATACGATCGTATAGATTGCATCTGCACGAATGTCATTATTTGGATATGTAAACGGCAAAGGTGATTGGCCGACTGATCCAATAATTAACAGTTCAAACTACTGGACGGATGACATTTTACGGTATTTAACTCCTCAGGGAGTTAAAGTCCTCGAAAAATTCCCGCGAATATAAGAAACTTACAAAGTTACCCTAAAAATTCACCATTTCTTGGTTTCTTCTAGTAATCACATCTTTTAAATGGGGAATTTGATAAATATGTTGCTCTTGGGGCTATACATGCAACACTTTTACAATAATCGTAATTGTATGCGAGTAATAAAAATATTTAAAAATATTTTTAACGCGCAATTTGCCATCATCTCACCCCATAAGATATCTAAGGTATTTCATCTTTACACCCAGCCTTAAAAATGAATTATAATTTAAAATTAAAAAGAGGTAAAGTCTATAACTTTGTTTATAGGGGTGATGTTCGGAAATGCCGATCCGATCATAAAAATTCTTTCCCCTAGAGAAAGCTACACCATACGTTTGTGACAGATCAATTCGCGGGAAAACAGCTTTAATAGTGTGGTACTACCAAAGCTGTTTTTATTAAATTTTTAAGGTCGGATAGTATAAAAGTAACCTCCAAATTATTAAAACTATGTTTTTAATGTTCACAGGTGTACCGTACCATGCTCTTTTCACACCGTCGGAGTTATCATTATCAGCATTAAAGCACTGCCGACGGCGAAAAGCAAGAACAGTCTTCTCAGATCCCCAACTTACCGGTAATTCATGATTATCTTTTGGGGCTCAAGCCTTCTCTATGGATGGAATCGGATCAAATCAAATAGGGAAAATGGGTCAGGCATGATCCGTTCCGCGGGCCCAGTGCGGATTGGTGGGTGGTAATGACTACAGATGCAGACGGGACCAACGATTTTAAGTGCCTGCCGAAGCACGGAGGAACTTGAGATAATAATTTTTTGGTCATTGCGAATGTTACTAAAGCTAGACCGAGCGCGCTAGCTAATAACTGCGCAATCAAGCTCCTCCGATAATTCATTTATCACAATTGATTTATGTGATATTTTTAGAATTATAAATAAAATCTTAATTAGTACATATTTCAACATTGTGTTCGTCACTGTAAATTATATACACGTTTATTATTACTATTATTTTTTTAATTCTATTATCTATGAAAAATTACAATTAATAACATGACTACCCTTCCGTAATAAGAATTTTGTTTAGCCAATCCATAATACAACTTGATTCTTTTACTTTTTGATCAACTTTATCAGCATGGGTTCGATCTATCTATAAAAATATAAACACAAAGCGAAAATTTATTTTTACTGACAGAGAATGCTTTTGTCATTAAATCCGCCTTTTGTGTCTCTAAATATATAAATCTAAATCTATAGTTTCTAGAATTTTGCATTTGTGCGCTACCTTCCTTGTTAATTGGATTCGCTATAGGGTGTTTTTTCTTCATATTACACATTTATGACTAATCACCAGTGGTCGGAATTAGGTAGAGTTATTCATGTACTTACACTGATTTCATACAGCGAAAGAATAAAGTGGATATGCCTCAAATCCCGAGATTAATATTTAAAGAGCAGAAAAAATCCCGTGATTTTTTAAATAAAAAGTTATTTACTTTTACACAATTTAAACTACTGCACGCACGACGTTGCCAAACTTACATCAATGACATCTTACATCAATTTGTATTGTAAATTAATGTAAACTAATAAAAAAATTATGTTAATTATCTTTGTTTTATTTGTCTATCTCTGACGTTGTTATTATTATTTAGTTGTAAGATTGTTGGCCACACGGAATTGTCCATTAGAAATCCCGGGAAGGTCCACATTAATATCAACATTTCGATGTAAGTACATACATAAATAACTCTACCTAATTCCGACCTCTGCTAATCACAAATGTTTTTGAAAGATATTGAGTGAACAATATCGTTAATTTTTAATTTAACACGCAAATAATTGAACGGTATAGTGATTATAACGTTAATTTTAGATAGCAAATATTAATTATTGTTTTTTATTTTTATTAAAAGCTAGTTAGTTGTCGACGAGTTTTGGCTAAGTTATTTATATATTTTCTGATTATTTAAATCAGTTTTTGGAATGCTGAATAAAGATTGCGACTTTGTAATTACAATAGGAAGCAAAATAATAATACAGATAAAGATAATTTCTATAAGATAAATAAGGTAGGAAATTTGAAACATACCCTTTTTTTCGTCAGGTCTAGAAAAGAGGTTTGAATCCCAACGGTATCTCTCTACACCCGAGAGGGTAGAATTGGCAGGGGCACTCAATTTGTCTGAGACTCAAGTCAAGACCTGGTTTCAGAACCGAAGGATGAAGCACAAGAAGCAAATGAGGAAGCAACAACAGCAAAGAGGTTGGCAATTTTTAATTATTTAATTGATCTTTGAAATAATTTTTGCTGATTGTGAAATATGATTTGCCAACTTAATATTGTAAACACTGATAGTTTCGTTTAAAATTATACACCTTTGAACAATTTTAGAACCGTTTTTACCTGTTTCTTAACGTTGATAAATCAAACAATTTGTTATTTTATTTATTTGATTTACGAGTATACATTACTTATATGTTTTAAATTACATTTAAGACAAACAACTACATATATGAAAAGACACAAAAAATTATATGATAAATTTGCATAATTCTTATTACATTCATTTAATGAAAGATAGAATATTGGTACCTAATTAATTTGGCAATCGATATAGTATTCTACGTATATATATAAGTATATTAGAAATTAAATTAAATTTACCTTAACATACATATACCTAGTGTTCTAAAGATAATTGAAGTTTCAAACAGAAACTATTCAATGTTAGGTACGTATTATAGTTCCGAAGTTCTAAGACTGAATGTTCCAAACTATGCCGTGGAGTCATAATTGAGTTAAATCAAAGTACTAAATTAATAAGGCTAGTAACAGGTAGGTGTAATTGCTTATTCAAATAAAGAGTCGGTAAAGGTTTATTAGAAATAAGCAAAATAAATCGTATGAATTAATATGACACCTGAAGGCCTATTCGAAATAAATTGAAGCGGAAGTTCGTCTATTTTATACAAATATTATATATAAAAATTGCAGAAGATGACTTGTGTAAGCAATTTTAATTGTTTAAATGTTCCTGCCAGTGAACTTGCATACATTTTTGAATCTGATGTGAATGTTGATAGAAAAAAAAATTGTTTTGCCAATGGACAACTCCATAAGAAATGGTGACGATGCTACGAAAAAGCTACTGATTACTCTCGATCGTAGTCAAATACTCACTATATACCAAGTGCCCTGAGCAGCATCGTGACGTGTTTTAAAATAACTTGGTATTATGGCCATTTGCTGTGTGAAAGAGTATATCACCATTACCAAGTGTACCATTATTACGGTTTCGAGGAGAACTATTCTCTGATAAAAACGTTCGACGACTGTCATAGCATACAGGTTTAATCACAGTAAATCACTTAAAAAGGTAATAAATTTTTTATTTTTGACGGGCTCAATGGCGCGGTGGTAGCGTTCTTACTATTGAGCCGAGAGTCGTGGGTTTGATCCCCACCCAGGACAAACATTTTTATGATTAACAATTATGTCTGTTCTGTGTCTGGGTGTTTTCTATTTATATTATGTATATATTTGTATTCCCCCCGTTGTTTCTGATATCCGTAACAAAAGTGCCTAAGCTACTTACCTCGGAATCGGATCAATGTGTGTGATGTTGTTCGATATTTATTTATATTATTTATTTATTTATTGAATCTAAATTCTAGGCTGTGAGAGTGTAACACTTATCTTCGAGTTTGGGGCTGTATTTTCACCAGATTGTAGAGGGTAATGTGTGTATCAGTCAATGTATGTTTTAATAGAAAAGCATAGCTGGAGAGAAGGAGTAGGTTCATAAAAGTAGCTTGAATGATTTATTTATATTATAACGATAACAAAAACCGTCATGTTATTTGCTTGAAATACTTCCCCCAATTAATTAATTGGCCCAAGATTCTATAACATAATTGAACCAAAACTAAAAATAAGTAAATGTTATAACTATCAATTGAAAAAAAATTATCTATATAAAAAATGTTTATAAATATTTATTTATAAATAAAAAAAAGGTTATCTATTGTCGGTAAGTAGTGAAGAAGTAGAAACATATTTAAAACCAGTACGTTAACTATCTAAATATATATAATTCAAAGGTGACTGACTGACATAGTGATCTATCAACGCACAGCCCAAACCACTGGACGGATCGGGTTGAAATTTGGCATGCAGGTAGATGTTATGACGTAGGTATCCGCTAAGAAAGGATGTCGATCAATTCTACCCCTAAGGGGATAAAATAGGGGATAAAAGTTTGTATGGAACTTTGTCAATTTTAAATCGATCGGGCTGAGAAGACATCCCCTAAGAGAGAATTTTGATAAATTCCACCCCTGAGGGGATACAATAGGGGATGAAACTTTATTTCAGGTTTTTTACACGATATATTGAATAAATATTCGTTAGAAATGCTGCTCAGAGTAACTTTACCACGCGGACGAAGTCGCGGGCATAAGCTAGTTTATAATATATCGACAATTATTTTAACACACACACACACTCACGTAAACACACATATAGTATGTACGAAATTAACATATTTCATATTTTTATTTGCCTTATGATATTCCAATTTGTTAGTTACTTACTTAGTACCTATCTTAATATTGAAATGTCATTGGGGAGATACTGGCTTCTATAATACAGGTAAAACTAGTTTAGAAGTCAGGGCTTCAAATATTTACTTACCTAACCGATATATGTACAAAAATAAAGGAATTATTATTATTATAGTCAGTGTGACTGTTTGTCATTTGAAACAACTTCGCTAGTTTTCAATTTCGTGCATTGCAGCTTTTAAATTATACATGTTAACGAACTCAGAAAGAACTATACATGTTATAGGCATAACGCTATTCGTTAAATATAACGCTTTAACATTATTATAATTACGTTTTATACTAAATAACGGTTATTCTTTATAGCTGTTACACTTATTGAGAGTATGGTTCATTATGTTATAATTAGTCAATTAAGCGATGCGGCCCTATGACGAGGCATGACGAGATGTAATTAATCGCTTTGATGTTACAATGAATTTGCTTCAATATAATTTAGGACAATATGTTATGATTTTTAAGCGGCTTCTAACATGGTATCTTGTAATCACAATATTAGTAGCATATTCTACTTGTTTCAACGAGTAGAATATTAATATTTTAAGCGTTTTGTTGCAGCTTCTCCTGATTGGTAGCTGGGTAAAATGTGAGAAAAACTGTCAATTTTTAGATTTGTTAGGGCTTAATTTTATTCTATTATGGACAGCTAACCGTTCACATAATACAGTAATACAATCTACACTATATTATAATATTAATAGGAAAGATTTGATTGTTAGTTTATTTGCAACTAAAAGGCCCCGAAACAGATTTAAATAATTCTTTCATCTACGGAAAATTACATCATACGCAGGTGACACATTAATTTTCGCAGGCGAAGTCGCTGTACCATTGTGTAATAGAAAACCAAATCAATGTTACATTGCGTTACACTGAGAGTACGTGAAGATATCAGATTTTATTTACTTGTTAAATTGCAGGGCTGCCATGATAAGGAAAAAAAGATTGTTGAATGTGTCATGTTTACGATTAAAAGTCACGTTTGAAAAGGTATAATATTATATGAAGCCCTAGCAGTTGTTCTTTCAGCCTGATAGATTGCCTGACAGCCTGATCGTCTTCTCTTTTTTATTAATGGCTTATCTGCTCATTTCGCACAGTTCTGCCAATGTCAAGTGAATAAATTTATTTTTTACATGTTTAATGAAAATGAAATGAATGGCGAACAAGCCTGATAGATCATTCAGGTCTTTATGTTGACAGCAAAGAGTATTTAAACACTAAGTTTTAAGAGACGAGACTCCCATAGAACGACTTTACCAGAGTTTAGGGAAGTTTTCACCAGACTAAAAAATTAATTTACCTATGCAATAATAAAAAAATACTAAGTAGTGATGTCAAAAGATAATTTGCCGACAATATCGATATTATGTTTTTTTTGTGATTATTATTAATTTAAAAGGGTGCATACTGTTCCTTTAATGTTTAACTTCGAACACAATCACTATGATTTTCCGACTCGTAATACGAGTGAAAAGTTCGAAGTCAAACCATAAAGTTAATATTTTTTTTACGAGCGATTAAATTTTATAGTTAAAATTAGAAAAGAATTAATAAAGTTAAAATTAAGCGGTATTGTTTATCTAGTTTGATCAATTTTGATAAACAATATATTCAGTAGAAACTACTGCAGGAAAACCAAAATGACCTTGTAGGATTCCTTGGTGATGTGCAATATTACTATAATACAGCCTGCAACAGAGCCTGTCTAGTTCTGTCTAAGCATAATATACAAAGCGCATTAATATCACCACTCACGTATGCTTTAATGGAAAATCTGAAAACAAGATATATCAATAATGAAATCTAAGCAGACTTTTAAAATAATTTATATACGCCTAATGTTCATTTCCTTTTGCTATTGAAAAAAAGTGAACACAAAATATTAATGTTTTTATTTTTCATCATCACTATTTTCCAAATAATCAAATAAGATTGTTAAGTAATTAAAATATTTTGTCAGTAATGATAAATTATTATTACAAATAATATTTTTACCAATTTTTGATTGAAGGTAATACCTTTTCTTGCCGTTCTCACGGTTTTTCACAAGTCCATATATTTCACACTGTATTTAAAACTCTAATATTCAGTTAGCTTTGAATCACAAAATAGAAATAAACAATTAGTAAGTGAAAATTTTTAAACGACTTCTTAAAATTGAGACCAAAGATTAAGAGTTGAGACTTATTTTGACGTATTTATTCCATAGAATATTCTTATTCCACCAACCTAACGATACGAATTTCAGTAATACCAATAAGAAATCTCCCTAAACTGCAAAGGACGATTTTTTTTGTATGGAGTTGTGACAGACTGGTTGAAAGATCAAATCAGCCCTGCGATTCTGTAACAATCCAGACCCGAATTCGAATTCACTCATGTGTCCGAATTATAGTCATTTAGTAAAGAAATCCTATTGATTCCATTTTTTGTATAAAAATACCAAACAAAATTGATCGAATAAACGTGTCTTAGATATTTTAATCCTATATGATTTCGAAACTCACTTAACTTATTTCACGAAATATTATTACCAATTCAAGTTTGAGTGGATGCCGCTTTTTGAAGTGAATTCGGACACCTGAGTGGATTCGAAATCGGGTTTGAAGTTTTACAGAATCGCAGGGCAGGTCATGA